TTGCAAAGAAATGTTTGCAACACAAAAATTGGAGTCGCTTTGAATTCTCCAGAGGCTCCAGGGGCTGGTGTGAGATCAGGAATAAGGAGTCTTGAGTTGAGAAGTGCTTGTTCAGCAGTCACAGCCCAGGGCTCAGAGTTAGGCTGGGATGTCCAAAGCAGCCCCTAACTCTCCTGGGTTTACCCATTGTGAACACCATTCAGCCTTCCTAGGCTCTGTCCCTACCTGTTCTGCTCACTGAATCTGCCTCTTGACTCCCACAGTCTCCCCTGGCTTCTGTGTAGAGACCAAAGGCAGGTTACTTACCTGTCCCCTTGACTTCCCCACTTCTGGGTTAGGCTGCCTTTTGGAGTGCATGGAAATCTCCTGCAAGGTTCACATCAGAAGCCTCTGTGTCCGCTGAGCTCAGTGTGCTGCTTCATCTGTGTCTGCTTGCCGCCCTGCTGCTCCACCTCAGGAGCGTTCTGCGGAGGTCCTTGGAGCTTCTTTCTGCAGGAGTCTTCCCCTTCCCCTCCCGGGTGCGCTTGGCAATGGGCGGTCACTCAAGAGTAACTCTCTGTCCGTTCCAGGAATCCCCGTCCCCCGGGAACGACGCAATAGACTCCAAGAGCTCCACGTTCGAGCCTGCCGTAGGCAGCCAGGAAAAGTTGGACTTCAATAGAAACTTGAAAGAGGGTGAGAAGGATTTTGGACATTCCCTATTACCTTATTATTTGGTATCTTGTCTCTGGCCTCCAGTGTGCCAGTAACCATGCTTGGGCCAGATCCTCAGCTTGCATAAATCAGTGTAGCTCCATAGACAATGGTGGCCACAAAGAATAATGATGACAAATCATGTTTCTCTTTCTGTTTTTCCTTTCCAATCTCTCTCTCTCACACCCCACTCTGCTTTTGGACACTGCACTGGATATAGTTATGCCAGCCATTGAGAAGTTACTCTCCAGTGACTGGAAGGAAAGGCTTTTGGGAAGAAATAGCATGGAATCCAAAGAGGTGAAAGGCAAGTTGTGCTCTTACATTGTCTCTAGAGGAACACCCTTCCCCTCCTGTATCATGACTTCCCCATTGCACTGTTTTTATCCTTTCTCTGGTGCTTATGGATGTCAACACTGGTGGAAAAGGGTGTGGGTAGGGGTGGGGAGAGGGATTTTGTGAATGTGTAGCCCTCTCTTTTTGTGGGCGGGATGGTCAAAATTTGATGTTTTTGGCAAAAATGTTCTGTGAATCTTTTTTGCAGAGGGAAAATATAACCAAGTCTAAGGCCTGTTCAAATGGCCAGAGCTCAGATATGCACCTCTGTAGAGTGATTGCTACAGAGATGAAATCCAAGGCAACCCGTGCCATTTCCCTACATATGCTTTTTGCATCCACATCCCTGCTTAGCTTCTCACTGGAGTCCTGAGGGTATCACCTGTGGAGAAAAAACAGGCATCAGGCACCCAACCACAGTGGCTGACTCTGCTGCTTGCTTGGTCCAGGTACCCAGGAGAGCTTAGCGGAGAAGGAGCTGCAGTTACTTGTCATGATCAACCAGCTCTCCACGCTGAGGGACCAGCTCCTGACAGCCCATTCAGAGCAGAAGAACATGGCAGCCATGCTCTTTGAGAAGCAGCAGCAGCAGATGGAGCTGGCCCGGCAGCAGCAGGAACAGGTAGGCAACGGGGGCTTGGCCCTGGGGCTTCCTTCTTCCCTATGCCACTTGGCCCCTAGACCATGAGGACCAGGGCAGGTAGTCCAGCCAACCTTTGTTGGGTTTCCCACAGTTTGGGATCTGCCCAGGCCTTACTTCACAGTGGCACGGAGCAGCTAAACTGCCATGGGGCAAGATGGCCTTTGTCACCTGGCTACTGAGGTAGGGGCAGAAACACAGCAAGGGCTGGGGGAAGAGCTGGACCTTGCTGAAGTCAATAGGCCTTTTGGTTTGGGCTCTAATGGGACCAGGCTTTCACCTCTTCTTGAGCAGACAGCCCAAGAGTGACCTCCCCCCATGAGCACTGCCCTTTCTCGTGTCCTCCATGCCAACCCCAAAAGACGTCCCGGCTCATCTAAGAACTGGAGTACCAAGAAGTCTGAGTTTATCTTGGCTGCCGCTGACCTCCGTATCCCCAGATAACATCTCCAAGTAACGAGTGGAAGATGAATCACGTTTCTGTCTGTGCTGAGCTCCCAAGGAGATGGCAGTGCCAGCCTGTATTAAAGTAGATACTTTAATTGAATTAAGCTGGCACACAGGGCAGGCTTTTTCTCATCTTTAATCATTTTTAAATAGACTTCCATCTCGCAGATTCTAGTAGGCTGTAAACAGAGGTAAAGGCTGGCATTACAGTTAACTTGGGAGGTTACATAGGAGATCTGGGCTTGGTTCCTTGTGTGACCATGGAGAAGTCACTCTCTCTCTGTGTGTATCTTGGTGTTTCTAAGTCTGTTCTCCATGCTGAGCTGAGCTTGGGGGTTGCAGGGCTTTTGGGGGTTACAAGGTGATCTCTCTCCCCACCTGTCTATCAGTCACGGTGGAAGGCTGGCAGGGGATAGCATTGCTCTTTCATGGCATCACCTTGAAAGGATGTGACCATCACCTTGGCTGTCACTAAGAACTGAATCTAGTCCCTCTGCACCTGAACTAGAGGCACCACAGCTTGGGTTCAGGACGGAGGTGGTGAATGACGCATGCAGACACTTCCCGGCTTAGTTAAACCCGTTCAAACACCTGTGTGTAGCTGCTTTTTTATTTCCTCTTGGTTAAGCCTCAGGCCGTTCACCGTAAGCCTCTGGCATGGGTATAAGCTAATTGCCTTTTTGCTAAATAGGCCCAACCCTGTGTGTGGACCAAGCCCTGAGACCCTTGGCTGGTGATCGCAGCAGAGCTGAATCTCAGCCAGGCCCAGAAGGGCTGGCATATGGCCTGACCGGCAGCTTGCTGCCATGACCCTGCCCTCAAGAGAGTCCTTTGGTCCTCAGAGGCCCCGTAGACCAACTATCTGTGCTTTTGTTTTGCCAGTGCTGGGGGGCTGCCCCTCGGAGGGTGGGAGAGCTCTTGAGGAGGCTCGCTGAGCGGGACCATTCCCACCTTGCTATTAATGTCACTTGGCTCCATTGTCTCCCCCTCTGACAGATTGCCAAGCAGCAGCAACAGCTCATTCAGCAGCAGCACAAGATTAACCTGCTGCAGCAGCAGATCCAGGTAAGAGGCAGCTTCCACCCTGCCAGCCCTGGCACACTCTTAGTTCCTGCTTGGAGCCCCCTTGCTTCTCCATCCCAGAATCCTGGGCAGGGCTCCCACCTGCTCTGTCATGGACCTCTCTCTTCTCCAGCAGGTCAACATGCCCTATGTCATGATTCCAGCCTTTCCTCCCAGCCATCAGTCACTCCCAGTGGCTCCAGACTCCCAGCTAGCACTTCCCATCCAGCCCATCCCTTGCAAACCAGGTAAGAAAGGGATGGCGGAGGGTGGCAGGATTACAGGGAACAGGGTGGGGAAGGGACAAGTGAGAAAGGCGGCACTGGGGAAAAGTGACTGTCCTCAGAAACAGCCTAGATCAAGGCATGACCCTTGTGTGCCATTGCTGGGATTGTGACCTTGGCTTTTGGAAGCTCAGCAAGACCTGGGGAGAGCTGTCTAACAAGCGAAGTTGGGGCTGGGCAGGGGAGAGCCAGGAGGCTTCTGGGTGTTGGGTGGTTTCTATCAGGCATTGATGTGCCCTTGCCCCCCCACTTGGGGTCCTGGCCCTCCTCCCCTTTGCCACTGGGACTCACACTGGGGACCCGGATCCCTCCCTCTGGCTGGTCGATGGCATCCCTGCTGGACCTCGCTGGGCCCCTGCCTCTCCCGTCTCTTGATTAACTCTTTGAAGACCTTCTGCTCTCTGTAGCAGTTTCTCTTCTATAGAGGCAGCTTGGGTCTGTCAGTGAGGCCCAGGAGCCTGTACCCTAGCTCCACATCTGTAGAAAGAAGAGAGCAGTCTCTCCTTTGTCTGCTCAGGTTCTTTGGGGGCTTGCGGTAGTAGTGCCTTGCACCCTAAAGCCCTGAGCACCATCGGGTCCCGAAGGCACTGCCATAATAGCAATAATAGCAGCACTCCTTAATCATCAGTGCCATGCTAGCAGGTCTGGGGAACATTTAGGTTTCAAGCAGCTGTTATCCCCGCTGCCATGAGCAACAGCTTTGCCCACCTGCTGGGAGTCCCAAACACAGGGGCCTGTGCTAGCAGTGGAGGTCGGGGGCCAATTCCAGGCACGGGCAAGGCCGGCTGGCTCACGGCTGCTGTTGTGTCTTCACCCCCAGCTTCTCTTTCTGCAGTGGAGTACCCAGTGCAGCTACTACACAGCCCTCCTCCGCCGTCACTCAAGAGACCCACCAGCTCCAGCCACCTCCAGATGCAGGTACTGCCCCAACTCTGCTGTCCTCGCAGGGCTCGGGGGTCCTGCTGGGACACACACCACTTCTGCCTTCTGTCTCCCCACAACCAGGAGTCTTCACAGCCCCTGAACCTAACGGCCAAGCCCAAAGGCCCTGAGCTCCCCAGTGCCTCCAGCTCTCCGAGCCTGAAGATGGGCAGCTGCCAGTCCCTCACACCGAATCACGGGGCCACGCGGGACCTGCAGTCCAGCCCTTCCAACCTGCCCCTGGGTAAGAGCACCGAGGCGCACTCTACAATGATACTGGGGATTGTATCCATGGCAGGAGGGGAGAAAGCAAGGATTTTTGCCTAGACCCTAGGTACCAGACCCATGGCTCAGGGACTTGCTGCGTCTGTACCGTGGAAGGCTCTGGGGACAGGGATGATCCTGCCCCAGGCAGGGGGTTGGACTAGATGACCTCTGGACATCCCTTCCAACCCTACTTCTCTGTGACTCTAAGACAGCAAGAATAAAGGATCCATTCTTTAGGAGGAAGCTTCGTGTCCACGACAGTATTAGGAGACAGTGAAGTCCCTCAGTAGCCAACTCCAGAGGGGATCATTGCTGGGGCAGAGAGAGGGAAAGACTGGCCAGGGGTTGGTGGGGGCGGGGAGATGGATAGAATAGAGACCAGACTTTCTGTGTTACACCCTCTCACTTCCTTGCTTGCTGCTAATTGGAAACAAAACAAGTGGGAACTCGTGGTGGCCTCAAATGTTCCTTAAATAGATGGTGGCTTCAGTGCCTGGGGATCAGGTCCTTTCCAGAGGCCTGTCCCAGGGGCTGTGGGACCTTTGCAAGGAGATGGCGCTGGCCCTGACCTGTGCTGTCCTGGGGGTTTATTCTCAGGGTTTCTGGGAGAGGGGGACGCCATCACCAAAGCCATCCAGGATGCCCGGCAGCTCCTGCACGGCCACAGCGGGGCCTTGGAGGGCTCTCTGAGCAACCCCTACAGAGTGAAGGTGAGTGACACCCCAGCTGGGGAGCTCCTAGGCTCTCACCCCAGGCTGGATGGGAAGGTCTTGGGCCCGACACTGCTGAGCTCCAAAGCCCAGAAATGGGCCAGTGTAGAAAGGCTGAGCACGTGCTGCGCACGCTCGAGATGTGTCACACTGGACTGTGCCCTCAGTTGTCCCCGCCGCCCACTCTCTGGGTCTTGGCACACACTAGCGGGGAGCAGGAGGGTATGGTTGGCTCCCCCGGTGACGCTCCCCAGGTTCAGCATGGACGTAGGCAGACGTGTCTGGGAGAAGCCAGCTCTGCACACAGAGGAGGATTCTTGGGGGAGGCTATGCACAGATACAAGAGGAGCCCAAGAGCACGGAGACCCTGGGCATTAGGTCCCCGAGCTGTTCTGCCATGACGCTGCAAGCCAGATGGCCTGCCTGTGGGTGGGCGATGTTGGACCCTCCCCTAGGGAAAAGGTCCCCTGCCAGTAATTGCACTGCCAGCCCACTTCCTTACATCGGCAGCTGGAAGTAACCTCCGCTCTCCATGTGCCTGTAGGACCACGTCGGAGTGGACTCCTCCCCAGCTAAAGAGCGGGTGGAAGAGACCTGTGCACACAGGCTGGACGAGGCCATGATAACCTGTGACATGGATGGTAAGGACGCCTTCCACTGGGCCTGAGATGTGCCATGTGCTTTGGATGCCGATTGCCACAGGGCTTCTTTGAGCTGAGGCTGTGTGGGGCTTCTCCTTTCCTCCTTTTTTTCTGCTTTTCTCTACCTTTCCTCCTCTTCCTGACTTTCCCCCCTCTCTGGTCTTTCCTTTCTCCACCTTGCTCCATCAGCCTGTGCTCTAAAAACAGCTGCCAGTGGAGAACAACCAAGGCTGGTGCTTGTTTGAAGGGTGTGGCAATCTTCTTTGTGGCCAGTCGATCACCTGTTTTCCGCAGCCCTACTCCGGGGTTCTCCATTGCTGATGGAGCACTTGTAGTTTGCACCCAAATGGTGCTTTCTGTATTGTGGGCCGTGCTGTGAGACCTGTTGAGACAGCTCCACAAGCCCCATGGATGCTCCTTGCTCTGAGGGGCAGCTGCCCTTGATTTGAGCTCCAGTTGTACACCTTTCTTGAAGGTGAGGAAGGAAGATACTGCTTTGGAGCTGAACTGAGACCTGTGCACTTTGTTTCATCCAAGCTCTTTGGAGTGTGCCCTCCTGCTTAGCTCAGGTGCTGCCTTGTCCACCCGGAGACCTTGGGAGCTTGATATTGAGAGCTGCTGAGCCCCCCATGGATCCAGCGAAGCTCATGAGAGCTGCCAGTGCTAACACTACAGAAAAACCAGGCTCCAAGGGGCTGAGATTTATTTTCCTAGAGGGTCTGAGAAGCCACAGGTCCAGTCGGGGAAGCAGGCTGATGGGATCCTGGGTCTCTGTGGCTGGGCTGCTAAGAATGAAAACTTCTAAACTGTGAACAGACATTTGGTCTTGTCTTGCAAGTGAGGTGGGATTTGAGCCTCTGTCTCCATGGGGGCCTGTGACCAGTGCCTTTGCCCTCTTTAAAACACTTCCCAAGCTGGGAGAAGCGCTTGGCTGCTTCATCCCCTTGCAGGTTGTATTGTGTCCTTGCTTCCCAAGCCTCCTAACTGACTCTTCCTTGCTGTGCTCCCTCAGGCTCACGGCACTTCCCCGAGTCCAGGAACAACAACCACATCAAGCGGCCCATGAACGCCTTCATGGTCTGGGCCAAGGACGAGCGGCGGAAGATCCTGCAGGCCTTCCCAGATATGCACAACTCCAGTATCAGCAAGATCCTGGGTAAGTGCATCCCATGGAGGAAGCAGGTGTGGTGGAGCCCTCTGCCCTGGTGCTCAGGGAAGGGATGGCTGAAAGCATTGCCTGGAGTCTGGGCCTGTTGGAGACATGCTTTTCCCCACTTACCCCTGCCTCTGACCTGCTGCTGGGAGTAGATTACAGACTTCCTGACACTAACCATTTTCCTCCCAGAGCCGTTATGCCCCGTGAGATCTTCCTCTTGTAGATGCTTGTTTTGCACTGTCACGGTGCTAAACCAGTGTTCCTGGCACCATTTTGCCTTAAGCCATAGAGAGTGGATTGGAGATTTTGGATGAAAACACAGCCCATAGAGCGCAATCTTGTATTAGTATCTCTGGCAGGCTTGCACCCTCCTTTCTGCTGCCTGTGTATCAAACCCCTCTGCAGCAGACCTCAACTTGGTCTCAGCCATGGTCCCTGCGCCGCAGACTTGTTGAGTCTCCACACCGTCCCAGCTTCACACAGCCCCCGCCCTAGCTATTTAAAGACACGCGTGCGGTCTCCAAAGAGTCCATCCCAGACTGCTAGCCCGGCACGCTCGAAGCACAGCATAGGGTTTCTGTGGCCTGCCCTCAGCGTGTGCTGTCAATTTGGTCTCACGCATCTGTCTCACAGCTCCACTCTTGGGGAAAAAAGCAGCTCCCTTTGAAGGATGGCTGGGCTAGGATCTGATCTGAGACCAATGGCAAACCACAGCGTCTGGGGTATGTCAGGAGTAGACGCTTTGTGGTGTCCTGTCTGCTCACTCAACACCATAGTGGAGCCTTAAATAACTGGTGAGATTCTTGCCGTGGGGGGCCTGTACACATAGCAGGCGTGTGAGAAGCCGGCTCAGGCGCTGGGTCTCTGAGTGGCCTTGAGCCAGGCACCCAATGTCCGGAGCCTCCATTTCTCATCAGCGTTCAAGGCCAGAGTAAGATCTGTTGTACGGGACAGACCGTGCAGTTGCCTAGTGGTTAGGACAAACGCTCCATGCCCTGGCAGGGCTCTCGCTCTGCAGAGCACCCTGTGTCGGCCCAAAGTTAACACGGGGCAGCACTGCCCGAGCTCTGGATCCATTCTGTCAAGCTGCCTGGCACTGCTGTTTATGCCGGTGCAGACAAACATCCTGATTTGGCAGCTTCTCCTTTGCATGGGTGCAGGTGACTCCAGCCCAGCCATGAGAGAGCCGGCCCATGGTGTTTTGGCATGAAGGGTAATGGAGCAGAGGCACAGCAGACTGTAGCCTTGGCATTTCCAGCTGGGGGGTGTGTAGTGTGTGTGTGTGTCTCACACTGGTGTTTCAAAGCCAGTGATGCAGGAAGCTCTGTCTTATGTGCTCCGCTGTCCATCCTGTCGTGTCCCCCGTGCTAGGATCCCATGTGTACTCACTAACCCCTTCCCTTGTTGTTGCATTGGCAGTGGCCTCTTTTGCCCTCCTTTTGCCTGTGGCCTGCTCCAGACTGTCCTCCGCAGATCTGGCCTTGTGACTTGTGGTTGTGTGTGCGGTTCAAAATGGGTCTGAGCTGGGGATTGGGGCTGCCTGTGAAAGCAGGGGACTAGACTCCAGTCCCTCCAGTCCTCTGTGTGTGGCCTTGCTATTGATGGATCATTACCTTGCAGCAAAGGCTTGGCTAGACTAGAGACAGATATGGTCTTCTGTGTGAGGTCCATTGGCCTGAATTGGAAGAGGGACTTCCCTGGTCCCATCCCTTCCAGTCTGGGCAGTAGGGGAGGAGGCAAAGCATGAGAAGCCTGTGGCATGAGCAGTGCCCGCTTGTTGAGATGATGGAGGGCAGAATCTTTCAGCGCCAACTGAGACAATCCTGCACCGAGACCCATCCCCGGCCCTGCCCACTGCATGCACACATGCTTGTGGCTACTGTGCAGGTGAGGGCCAAGCTCTCCAGCAGGCCAGATGGCCACACACGTGTGTAGCTCCCTTCCTGCCCTGCTAGCATGCAGTGGCCAGCAGCGCACCTGGGACAAGTGGCGAAGAGAGCCACGAGGCATCAGAGACACTGGACTTGGCTGGACTGCCTGCATCTGAGTGGAGCTACTGTGCCCAGGGACTGGGTCCAAAGAGCACTACAAGGTGTGGGAAGATCTCTTCATTTCACCCTTGCTTTGGGGCATAGGAAAGGAGGGTGGTACAGGCCTTTGGCCCCCGATTCTCCCATTCCCTTGGCATAGGTGATGCTTGATTGTTTTCCCTTCCCCTCCTGATCCTCCCTGCCCTCTCTGGCCCGCATTCCTCCCACTTTTTTCCCTCTGGCTCCGGCTCTGGGTGCTGCCCGGGATGACAATAAAGGTCAGTAAGCAGGAATGCACATCACATGGCAGGCCGGTCTATTTTAGCTGTTGCACCTGCTGGCCATACCTTTTATGAGGACAATGAAGCAGAAGTACAGGACAGAGAGGTGACCAGGAAAGGTCAGGGCTGGGGGAGGGGGTCTCCTTCAGGGCAGGTAGATTGAGGCCTGGATGGCTGCATTTCAATGGGAATGGGCCTGTGGCATGTCTGGGAGATCCCTGCCATGTTACTTGTGATGGCTTTGTCTCTGTTGAAACCTGCCAATAACTCTGCACCTACCAATCAGGGGCAAATCACTCAGGTTGGGTGGTAGAGCTTGTTTGCATGGGTTGTATGCAAATGTAAAATGCCATTTGCATGTGTTTTATCACAGCAGCGCCTGGGCACCCAAATTGACCTGGGAACACTGGGTCAGTTTTCAGTTGGCGCAAGCTCCTGTGTGGACACTCGTATTTCAGTGCCTCTGGATTGTGTCATCTTGCTCCCATGCTGACTTTTTGTCGGGACCTTAAGCAAATCACCCCTTCCCTCTGTGCCTCAGTTCCCCCACCTGTGAAGTGGGTATGCAGCAGGTATCACTAATGTTAGCAAAGCACGGCAAGTACTCCCGCTGTGGGACCTGCTTTGCTGCTGTTCAGGCTCAGCAGTGGAGAGCAGACGCATCTATGCTGCTCCCATAGGAGTTTGGGGAGGTGGTAAGACCCTTCCCTCCTCCTTGGTCATGGCCACAAAGCCTGTGAAGCTTGAGTAGGTGATGCCTTGAAGGGGCTACACAGTGCAAAGTCTGAGAGGCACCCAACTGCAGCGGTAGGACAATAACCTACTACTTCTACCTTCCAACACTCTTCCAGCTCGAGCATTAGCAGTCGCAGCAGCCCTGTCTGCTGCTGGTTCTTCCTGGTGGCCAAGGCTGTGATGGGAGTTTCAAAGGTAGCTCAGGCAGTCTGTAAATCTCCCCCCCATCCCCTCCCAATGTGGTATTGCAGGGTCCCGGTGGAAGTCCATGACGAACCAGGAGAAGCAGCCCTATTACGAGGAGCAGGCACGGCTGAGCCGGCAGCACCTGGAGAAGTACCCAGACTACAAGTACAAGCCGCGACCCAAGCGCACCTGCATCGTGGAGGGCAAGCGACTTCGCGTGGGCGAGTACAAGGCCTTGATGAGGAACCGGAGGCAGGATGCCAGGCAGGGCTTCTTGATAGCGTAAGGCTCCCAGCCACGCGGGTGCATGCGGGGCTCCCCCTGCGTCTGGGAGCAGAGCGCAGAGAGCAGCGCATAGCAAAACTGGGTGGACGTTGGAACAGGAGGTGACGGGCAGCGCTGCATCATGACAAAGCTGCACGGGGGAGTGGGGCAGGGGTGTCAAGGTGAGAATAGGCCCAGAGAGCTCCAGGTGGGTTGGGGCTTTCTGGGCATGTTTAGGCTGCACACCTCACTCAGGTGTGGGGTGCGAGGCTGGAGCAAAGGGATGTCAAGGAGAATCCCCATTAGCTGCTGGCAGTAAGGGCTCTATGACGTGAACAGGATGGGACCTGGGCACGGCAGCCAGCTCTTTGCTGGCGCCTGGTGTCCTCTCTGAGATGGCGAAGGGGGATCAGGAAGAGCAGAAGCCGATGGTCCCTTCACGAGGTTTCTTCCCCCCCACCCCTGCACAGGAGGCTGACTGGCAATGTCCCACCCTAGCTGGATTTGTTTTTAATGTACAAAGAAGGGGGTGAGTCATGGAAACAGCCCTTCATGCATGGTCTTTGCATTCTGAGGAAAAGCCTTGCTGCGTGTTGGAAAATGACACTTGAAAACCAAAAGGCTTTGATGTGGTGATACCACCGGGGTGCCTGACAAGAGGCCAAAGGGTGAAAGGTGCCCCGTGCTGTGCGCTCTCCCACCGACCCTGCTCCCACACCAGGCTACAGGGCCAGGGGTCCCATGATGTGATGGCCTCCCTTGCCCTTGACCCTGGTAGACTGGGGGAGCCTAGCCCATAGAGGGGAGTGGGAGCATGGGGAGGTTGCTGGGGCTTTCCTGGTGTGTCCTACTTTTCCTCTGAGGTTTTTTTGGTCAAAATAGTTCTTTTTTTGTTCCAGCAAAAAATTGAATTTTCCCTGGGAAATTGCCCAGGATGCTATTTTCTCCCCAGCTGGTGTCAGCACTGTCCCTGGGGGAGGGAGGCCTGCGTGCTAGCCAGCTCTCACCCCCAACCAAGGTGACCATATCCCTCTGCTTTTTAGACCCCAAAGCAGCCAGATGCAAGCCACCTCCTCAGATGTCCTGTACCCGAGGCCAGTGGGTTTGCAGCTGACGCCACCGCTGATGGAGCACTACCTGCCCCGCGGCACAGACCCCAACATGCCCGTCATCATCAACACACGCAGCCTCAAAGCCCAGGAGGCCGACGGCGCGGAGGACAGGCACTCAGTTGCGGATGGCGAGATGTACCGGTACAGCGAGGAGGAGGACTCCGAGGGCGAGGACAAGAGCGATGGGGAGCTAGTGGTGCTGACGGACTGAGCCGGGGCAGGCAGGGAGGGTGTGTGGGGTGGGCATGAGCGGAGGAAGGGCAGCACCTGGAACTGAAAGGGTGGGAGCGTGGGGACAAGGTGGGCAGGGGGAACAGCCCCTGTGGCTTGGCTCCCTGTGGTAAAAGGCTCTGGGATGCAGCAGTGCTGCAAAGCATCACTCCCTGGGCCAGGAGGAGCCTCTCCCATCAGAGAGGCCTGGCACATAGGGCACCATCGGCTGTGAACAGGGGACCTGGGGCGGGCATGTGCCAAAGCATGGGGCACAGACTCATCCTCACGCCCCCTCTCTGGAGGGAAAGGAGTTGGCTTCACCATGCAGAGCAGCACTGGGGTTTACTCGCATGCTTCCTTGGCACTGGGGCATGTTCCTGGGACAGAGAGGGGCAGCGGTGCAGGCTTGGGGCTGGAGCACAGCCAGAGCGGGTGCCCAAGCAGGCGGGTGTCTTCAGGAGGTCTGCTGAGAGCAGAGCAGTGGCGACCATGCGGCAGACCCTGCTGCTGCCCTGTGAGACCTGCTGGCGCCTGCATTCACGGGGCCTGCAAGAAGGTTCAAGGACTGGCTATGGGACCAGGCAGCGGGGAGGCCCCCATGCCCAGGACAGTGTGAGCGGTGCCCGGTGCATGGAGACAGGCTGGAAAGCCTGGGACAGACAAGAAGCAGGCTCAGGCTGATGCTTCTGTCTCTTGGTCCACCTCTGATGCTGCAGCCTCTTGGTCCGCCTCTCCCCAGTGCGGCTTGAAGGAGCAGCTCCTGCCTGCTGGGCTCAGAGCCATTAGTGGAGGGGTCCCAAGCAAGTGATCGAAATGACCCTCCCAGGCCTGGGGGGGTCTGCAAAGGGGGTCTGGCTCTCCAGAGGTTAGACAAGGGGAGACCACCGTGGCCTGTTCCCCTGTCCCCCTCCCTGAGGAAGTCAACGCTGGTTGTGGCGCCAGCCGAGGTGAATCCTCACCTGTCCAGGGCCCAGCCAGCTGCCCGAGCAGCTGTGGCCACGCAGTGGCCCCGCTTCAGCCGGGCACTGAGGTCTCCGTTGTGCTCGGTAGCAACCGGCGTGGGGAACACTTGTTGCTCATTCAGGCGCCGTACCAGGCCGCTCGGCTCCCGCGCCCCCCTCTGCCCCCCCACGGGCCGCTTGCTTGTTCCCACTCGCTGGCTGCTGCCTGCCAGTAAATTCCCATGGAGTCATTTTTAGCTCTCGCCTAGCATGAGAAAGCGCCAAGGTCTCAGAGGAGCGCCCTTTTGTGCGCCTGACAGCTCTGGCCCCGTTTGTAAATAAAGCTGCTGCCTGTTTCCCAGCCCTGCTGTCTGTGCCCCCCCGCCCCCCCAAACAACCCCAGAAAGCTGCAGGGAAGGGGCCTGCCCCCACCCCCCAAAACCTGCAGCAGTGGGTACACAGGGAGCCCCTGAGGCTGGGTAATGGGGGGGTCCTCTGTGCCTTTTCCCAGCTGACCAACCCTTCCCCCCAATCCAGCAGGGTGGCGGAGCTCGGTTCTCCTGCAGCTTTGCAGAGCCGCTGCCAAAGACGTGCAGAAAACAAACCCGCCAGCCAGCTCCGTGCCCTGCACCCAGCACTACCCTAGGGGCCCGTGCATTGAGCCATGGGGCTGTCCTTGGTGCTTGTGCCCAGCGTAGGGGGCCAGCAGCCCCTGGCGGTGCACACAGACATGACGCCCAATGTACAGCCAGTGTCCTAGCCAAGGGGCCTGGAGGGGCGTCCTGGCATCACTGGGTGCTGCAGGACTGGCTGTCCTCGGGCTGCACGGGTGGGGAGGACAAACTGAAACACCCAAGCCCCTGCTCCATCTGAACCAGACTGCTGGGTGTGGGGGGGAGGGCATGTCACTTTGTGAAGGGATGGGCTAGTAACCCCCCCCCATCCAAATCATTGTGTGCCAGGACTGCGTGGCTCAGCACCCCACCCACAGCTCAGGCTAGCCCTGGCAGGCCTGATGCCCAAAGATGGGCCGTCTCTTTCCAAGAGGTTGCATGAACTGTTGGGAGGGATGCTGACAAAGGCAGCGGGGTTGCTTTTATTTAAATTTCTTTTTTTGGCAACTGGCCTGACCCTGGCTGTAGTGCTGCAATGCCAGTGAGTGCACATGGGCGCTGCCTGAGGCTGCTTGGAGTGGCCTGGGCAGGCCCGAGGGATGTGGTAGGCCCTGTAGCTCCTTGCCAGCCAAGGCAAAAGGGCAGGAAATTAGGTTTTTGTGGTGGGGGAGCAAGAAGGCAGGGCAAGTTATTGCTGCCATCTTCCTGAAGACGGCCTGGCCCTGATGGTAGCTGAGCATCTGGCCTGCCTCCCTTAGGGACTGATGACCCCAGTTCAACATTGTGCCACCCCCGCAACAGTTCCCCAACATCACCACCACCCTGAGCCCTTGGGATGGTGCCTCTGCCTGGGAGAAGGGCAGTCCCAGCCCTTGTACGCGGTGTGGGGGGAGATGTGCGTGTGTGTGTGCATGTCCATCCCTGTCTGTCCTGTGGTGATGCAGACAGCAGGTTGTTGGATGGGGGTGGAGGGTGGGGGTGGCAAGGCTAAGCCAGGTTTGCTTACAGCTGTAAGGAAGAACCAAAGGTGGTCAGATACTGGGACAACTGGGGTAGTTGCGGGGGGTGGGGACTGGGGCAGGAGGGGCAATCACCCTGGTATCAGGCCTTGCATACACTCAGCGCAGGTCGCTGGCGGGGGGTGCGTGTGCCTGCATGTGTCTCCATCTGTTTGCGTGCATGCGTGTGTGCCTCTCCATCCATAAGTGTGTATGTAAGTGTATGTACAGCTCCATCTGTGTGTGTGTGTGTGTGTTTGTGCATGAGTGCGTGCATGTGCACGTGTGTATGTCTGTGTGCAAGAAACACTGGCGTGAGGGCAAGAGGCCAAGCCCGTACCAGTCTGCAGTGTAGAGAAGCGACTAATATTGCTGGCAAGTGAAGTGAACCTGTGTGCGTGTGTGCTACAGCTGCTCCTTCCCTGCCCCCTCCTCCCTGCTCTGGCCCCCCAAGTCCTGCAGCACCCTGGGCTGACGGCTGCCATACGCGTGGCCTGCTCCTACCCCACAGTTTCCCCGGCTTTGCACCCCCCTGC